AAGAAATAAAAAAAGAAAGGAATTAATTACATAATTAACTAAAAGTTATGCAAGTTCAATAAGTGAATTGATCAAATTACATTTAGTAACTGATAGTTACTTTCTTATTATGAATTTAGTCATCTTTATAATATATTAGATATGTTTGATATGTTTGACATATTGTTCAATATTTTTTTGTGTTATAAAATTAAATATATCTATTAAGTCAATTATGTTAACTATAGCACTTATATAACTATTTATAATATATTATGTAGATCAATTATATTAAGATAGTCTTATTATATTGCAAAAAAGTAAATTTCATATTTATTTTATTCTAATTGATTATATTAAAATTTTTTTAATTTTCTTAAAAAAATATTAGAAGTCAATTATATAAAATTTTATTTTATGTATTATACAAAAATAAAAATTTATTCTATTAATATAAAAATAGATTATCTTATAAATATTAAGTTTGATTTTTATTTATTAAATTTATTTTAATAAATATATTATTAATCTAGTAATAATATGGGTAGATTGCTAGGAAAATCAGGTTCTGGAAATTTTTTAGCAAAATTGAGATTTTTATTGCATTTTAGTTTTTGATGTAATTAGATTAAAATGTATTAAGCTCTTAATTTTAGTCAAAAATTTCTCAGAACCTGATTTTCCTAGAAACACTCCTATATAAATTATATTATAATAATACAAATTAAAAAAAATTCTTTAAAATTTATATTATATTATATTATAATATATTATACTAGTTTTAAAATAAAGCTTTACAGTCAACTCTTAATATAGTGAACTCTTAATATAATAAAATTTTTAAACAAATATAATAAAAATACTCTTATTATAGCAAATTGGCTAATCAAATCTCTTAAAATCTTCACTATAGCCTTATAGTGAAGTTGAAGTTTAGGATATAAAGTTTATTATAATAAAAGTTGATTATATATATTATCAGTACAATATAATACAAATTTATAAAATTAGCTTATACTATTATATAGATTATAATATTATAGAACTAGTATAAGATATAATTCAAATTTTATAAAATACTGATCTGTAACATTATATTGTATTAGATAGTCAAAATATATTATACCAATTTTTTATATACTCTATAATAATTATTCAAATATTACTAAAATTATAATAACTTTTTAATTTTTTTAAGTAATACTGATAAAATTTATAAAAGAGAAAATGAAAAGTTAGTTATTAGTTTAATATTAAATTATTATCTTTTCTTGATATTATTTTAGAAAATGATGATAATGAAAATCATAATTTTAAAATTAGAAGTATATAATAATATTTATTTTATAAAATAATACTTATTTATAAATCTATCAAAATAAAAATTAAAGAAAATTCTTTTCTTTTAATTTATTATTATAATTGTCAAATTAAACTTAAAAATAACAGGTTAAATACCTTATATTAAATAAATAAAAAAATATATTCCTATTTAGAATAATAATATTATTAAGAATTAATAAATATAAAAATTTTGTTTAAATTGAATTTAATTAAAATCAATTATTTTTATAAAATATTATACTTACAGCTAATATATGGGTTGATTGCTAGAAAAATCAGGTTCTGACAATTTTTTAAAAAAATTTAGATTTTTATTGCATTTTAGTTTTTGACCTTCTTAGATTAAAATGCATTAAGCTCTTAATTTTAGTCAAAAATTTCTCAGAATCTGATTTTCTAGAAATCCTCCCATATGTTAAAATTATACTTAAAATAAAAAAATTTATTTAAGATAATATTAATATTTTTATTTTAAATATTAATATTAATTTAAGAAAATCAAATTAATAAATATAAAATTTAATTATTAAATATACTTATCATTAGTAGTTTATTGAATTTTATAAAAGGTATTATTATATTTATAATTTTTTTATTATCAGTAAAATATTTATTAAAAAAAATTAAATTAAGAAATTAATTTTAATTTTTCTATATTTTTTTTTTAGATTTTTAATTATATATAGGACTTTTATAATAGAAAAAGAAGAAATAACTAAAAAAATCAAATTTACTTTTATATGTAAAATATGATTTTTAGGTTAAAATATGTTTAGTTTTAGCATTAATTCAATTTTTATTTTTTTAACTATTTTTCTTTTTATTATAAAATCTTATATTATTAATTATTTTATAATAAATTTGATGTAATTAAAATTAATACAACTTTTAATATTAATAATTTAAGATAAGAATTATATACTATTATAGGTATAATTGATAGTATAGAATTTTCTCTTAACTATTTCTTAATTTTGTTAAAAAAATTGAAATATTATAAGAATTATTATTTAATAAATGCAAGTTTTAAAAAAACATAATTAAAAATATTATTTTATTTTAACTAATAAAGTTTTTATAAAAATTATTGTAATATAAATAATATGATTTAAAGTAAAATTATAATTATATATTTAATATATATAACTAACTATTAAATAATAATTAACATTAAACAAATTAAGTATTTATTATTCTTATAATCTAAAAATTGCTTATAATAATGTTTAGTAATAGATTTTAATTAAAAAATTATAAAATAATTTAAAATCAAAAATATTTTACTTTTTAAATTTATGAAAATTTGTAATTAAACTAATAAAAAATCATTTTAATTATTATATATTATTACCTAAACTTAATAGTATTATTATCATAAATACAAATTAAAAATGATAATTATTGTTGAGTTTAAAGCGATCTTAACACTTTTTAAAATCAGAGATTTCATTGGTTAAAAATCATGTAGGTAGATAAAAAAATGCAATAACTACATGATTGAAAAATTTTTTATAGTGTATAGATGTATATTGTTCTTTGCTTCACTTTAAATAATAAAAATTTGGAAGAAATGTATTAGTAACATAATATAATTTTATAAAAATAACAATTTAATTTAATTATAAATTTACTTTTGAAAAGAATAGTCTTTTAAAAAAAAATGGATTTTATAAGCATAAATAACTAGTAAAAATATTAGTTATATTCAAACTATAATAATAGTTGAATCTCATTGATGTTATATTAAGCATAATCATTGATACAAGTTTTACAAGCTATAAGTTGATCATTTATGCTATATTTTATTAAAAGTTATTAATCAGCAATTATATCAAATTTATTTATTTTAATAAAGTTATTATATAATATGATAGTACAAAGACTTTAAAAAGAATGAAAATAAAATAAATAAAATAAAAAAACAATAAATTTCAGATATTTTACAGATTTGTCTATATGACATATCCTACATATAATCAAAGTCGTTTCTTTTATATAAATATTTAAATAATTCTGTTAAAAAAACTGATGCAATATTTTTTAAAAAAGTAAGAATAATTTATTTTTATATTTTTTATATAATTTTGTTTAATTTTTTTTACAAAAAAATAGAAATTATCTATTAATTTCATCTTATGAAAGTATACTGGTAAATGTATTTATTTGAAATCTTTAAGTTCTAAAATTACAAATATTCTATCAATTCAAGATTCAATTATTGAAAATGAAGAAAATTATATAATTGAAAGTAATTATGAAAAACAATATATTTAAAACAGATTTGACTTATTTACATAAAGTATTAGATAAAGTATATTTAAAATATTTAAAATGTATTTTATTAATATTAAGATTAATTTCTAGACCAACGAATTGTTAGACGAATCACACAATATGCCAAAACGGCATTTATGATTAAAAAATGTTTATACAAATTTCAAAGAATTAGAAATAATATTATTATAACATTGAAAAATCGTCAAACTATACCAAAAATTTGAAATGATTTTAATCAAAACACAATGTATTGGAATAATATTGTTTTTATAATAATACCTTTTCAAATTATAAAGTTTTTTGTTAAATTTTAAAATCAATAATTGTAATTACCGGAACTTGGTGTCCGAAATCACGTGTGTCCCTATAAATTGTCCGTCTACCATTTTTCCCGACGCCCCATGATCCATTAATCATTTTTTTTTTTTTTGTTTTTCAAAAACTGTCAAATGGAAAAAATTTTAGAAGCCAGTGTTGCCATTTGGCGAGATCTTTAGGCCAATTGGCCGCACTACAGCCAAATTTTGCCAAAATAACTAGATATTAATAAATGTATTAATACTTATTAGAATTTGATTGGCATTTGGCCGCGGCCAAAATTTTTGGGCCATTTTGGCCGGCCAAATTGGCCAAACCTCGACCAAATAGTCAAATGGCCAACGGCCAACATTGCTTTACTCCTTTTAGAAAATAAGTTATTTGTTGGCGCATCCGCTTTTGTCGATGGCGTCCCTTTGATAAAGTAGACAATTCGGTTAACGATCGATCCTAGCCCGAATTATTTTCTTGGGGGGGGGGGGGCAGTAAATTTGTATCTAAAATTCGAAAATTCTGACAGAATTTAATGGACACTTTGCCTCATTGATCAACACGACAAAGATCTTGAACAGAACTCTAGTAATGAAACTTTAGGTGATCAAGGGAGGAACAGGAATGAACAAGAATTTCAGTTGAAGGTATAAAAGTCTCAACTGTGGAATTCCTTTGAAGATTCAGAAGAACGCGCACTATACACAACTTTAAATGTTCGTGTCAAATTATTACTATGGTAGTTGATTGTCAATGGAACATTAGTGCCCACGTTTAATAAATACGTAAATTCATGCTGCCTTAACGTAATTTATTTATACAGAAAATAGTATATTCCTATATAAATGTATAAATGAAAAGTGATGCGGCGCTGCACTTCACATTTTATTAATCTTTAATGGAATGCTAATGTTGACGAACAATAAATACAAATTCAGGTAAGAGGGAGGAATTATTTTGTTACAGAATTAATAATAAAGGTTTTTTTTTTTTTTTTTTTTTTTTTTTTGTTAATGTGCAATAAATAAAAATTATATATTTATATATAAATAATCTAATACAAATCAATTTGCCTTAAAAACAAAGTTATGCTAAGCTTTAACTTGTGCTATAACGTTTCTACATACAGGACAAGAATGGGTTTTATCCAGACAACCAGAAATGACACAAGGCAACCACATAAGAGGCCAAAATACGCAACATAAGATACCAGCCAAAATATAAGCGGTGGAACCAGGAGCTTCCGTTACGATAGTAACGATTTCATTATTACAATGAGGGCAAATTACTCCAACAGGTAAATGAGAATTAATCTGTAAAGCTCCTCTGGGAACATTGCCCATATGAGTTATTACGTGAACTTGTTGAGGTGCAACTTGAGGTTGATATGGAACGTATGTAATTCCAGGCTGTGCTCCAAATTGAGCTTGTTCATAGACCGGTTGTTGCGGTTGCACATAACCCGGTGGTGGCGATTGTGGTATCTGTTGTAATTGTGGGGATTGTGGGTATTGTTGGTATTGTGAGGATTGTGTGGATTGTGGGGATTGTGGTAGTGATGGTAGACCTTTATTATTTTGTTCTTGAATCTGAATGAAATTTGGCTGACCCTGATACACGTTTTGTGGTGTTTGGGCCGTTTGAACAACGTATACTTGTTGTTCTCCTTCCATCATTTGTGATGATGGACCACCTTGAGAGTAAATTGGTTGTGAACCATTTACATTTGGAGGAAACTCTGCACCAACATATTTTTCTGCCATTCTGATGAATTGGATTTATTTGTTTATAAATAATCTAAATTGAATAAATTCGTATTTAATATTTAATCTGGAAATGCACGAACAAAGGCTACTCAAATTCCTTTAAAAAAAATATTATATATAAATAAAACGTAAACTACCTAAAATGTATATAGTAAGTTATCAAGTTAAAATAAAAAAAAAAATCCTCTATTTTTTTTAAAAAAAAATTTTTCGACAATTAAAAATCGAGGGGGGTTTTATATTGGTTATTGTAATACAATAAACACTTTGGCGTTTTATATCACCATTTCGTGTAATACTAAGTATTTATTAAAGGCATGATTTACTTTATTAGTACATGGAATTCTTCGTCGAAATTCCTAAATTCAACAAACGAAATCAGTTTTTAGTTATTTTTCCGACGAAAATTAACACAAGTTATTAATTACTTTACCCAATGTCAATTTGTGACTTATCTGAAATTTATAAAAAGGTCTTTCCAGATCTGTGGCTTAAAACCAAATCATATGATCTTGTAACATAGGTAATTGCACAGAAATATAAATAAAAGGCGTCCCCCCTTCATTGAAATCTTACTCAATTAGGAAAATGTTTGTTTTAGACGAATCGTATGACTAATTGTTCTAATTGATTATTTTCTTTATATTTACGATTAAAGTTAGTAGTAGTGTTGTCCGTTTTAAATTGACATCCATAATCACGTTTGAGGCGCAGCAACGCCTATTCAAATTTTCCTCTGGCATTGATCACCAGAAAAACAGTGTTGAAAATTAAGATCAAAAGCTACAAAGAAGGAAAAGTACCGAATGCAAATATATGCATTGTAATAATGGACAATTACTACTTTTTTTAATAATTCATTCCGTTAACGGAAATTTTTAAAAAAGTAGTATCTCAAAGTGACCTTCAAGAAATTTCTCAATTTAGTATGGCCAATTTGGCCGGCCAAAAATTTGGTTGTTTTGGCCATTTTGGCCATTTTGGCTATTGGCCTCGGCCAAATGCCAACACTGCCATATACTAATGAAAAAATAAAAAAATAAATTTTTTTATATTGGACAGAACTTCAATTTTTTTTTTTTAAAATATTTTTAAAAAACCTATTCTTACCGTCCAATTCAAAAGAACCAATATAGTAAATCCGGTTGAATTGAAACTGGATATAATAAATGGTTTCAATTTAACTAATAATTTATAAAAGTATTAAATTAGATTTTTAACTTTATATTTATAATAAATAAATAACTTAATAAAAACTTAATATTTTTAAATTAAATCATAAATTTTTTTAAAATTAAATATTGGAAATGTGATTTTTTTAAATGGAAAGGATTTTTATTCAAATTTATTTATAATTTCAATACAAAATTTTACTAACTTTTTTAGTTAGAATATATATTATAATTTATTTTTTAAAATAAATTTCATTTTTAATAATAATATATATCAAAATTTTCAACTTAAATTTTATGATATTTTATAAATAAATAATTTTATTTTATAAAAATATTAGTAATATATGTAATTTTAATAACTTTACAATTAATAATAAAAATAATAAATTTTAGTTTTTATAAAAAAATTTTGATTAATACAATAAAAAACTAATTATTATAAAAAAATTAATTGATTTTATTAAATATTATAAATATTATATAAAATAATAATTTTTTGATAAATAATTTATAATTTACTTAAAATTAACTTTTAATTAATAATTAAAATTGCATGTAAAATTTAAAAAAAACTATTAAAAGGATTATAAAATAGAATTAAATTATAGTTATATTCTAATACATTTGATAAGTATTAATAATATTAATCTTTTTTTTTTACTAATAAAAAAATTTATAATATGTTATAATTATTTATTATAAAAAATATTAAACATTTTAATCTTTTATTAAATAAATATTATTGCATTTTAATAAAACAATTATAAAATTTTAATTATTAAAATTAATTAATATAAAGAAATAATAAACAAATTTAAAAATATTAAAATCTAAAAAGAATTTTAATTTATTATTTTTGTTAAATACTTTATAATAATTATTATATAAAAATATTTAAAAATTATATAATATTTAAATTTTAACAAAAAATTTTCAAAAAAACAATTTATAAATATAAAAAATCTATTTTAAAATATTTAATAAATATTAGATTTTATAATATTATATAAAAATTAAATAATAGTAAATTAAAAAAAAAAAAGTAATTCATTTTAAATAAAAATCAGTTTATATTTTCAATAAATAAATAATATTATTAAGTAGATAGCAGTCTTATAAGATTACTGCTATCTACTTATGTTATAATATTATCTATTTACTGTTAGATTATTATCTAGTTATCACTATATTACTACTTAATTATAATTAATCTATTATCAGTTTTAATTTTATTATTCTACATTATTTAAGTAGTTTACTTCAATACTAAAATTATAACTTATTTATTTTTTATTTACTACATTATTCTTATTTTCATTTTTTTTCTTTTTTGATTTCTGTTTAGTCTTTATTTTACATTAGCTTTCTTTCCTTTTTATTTATTTTTATTATATATTTTTTATATTATTCTTTTTAACCTTTTCTCTTATTTAGTAACTTGATGACTAATTATTATTTTTAGGATTACAGTTATATTCTATTTTATTATAGCTATATAAAATTTATAGTATTCTTTATATTTACAGTTAATTCTTGATATAGCAAACTCTTGATATAATAAATTATTAAATAAATATAATAAAAATACTCTTGTCATAGTAAATTAGCCAATCAAATCTCTTAAATATTCACTATGGCTTTATAGTGAAGTTAAGGTTTAGAATATAGAGTTCGTTATAATAAGAGTTGACTGTATTATTATTTATTATAAATATTAAATAATTATTTATTAGTTTTGAGTTTTGTTTTGTGTTGGATTGTATTTTTGCTATGTAATTTTTATATTATCCTTTTTAGCTTCTATTGCTTTTATTAGAGTTCTAGACGAGTCAAGTTAACTTATGAGTCAGATAAGCTGAGTCGAGTTTAAATTGAGTCAAATTTATATTTTTTTGATTCAATGATTTGTGAGTCAAGTCAAATTCAAGTCGAGTTAAATATTTAACTCAACTCGATTTAAACTCGACTTGATTCGAGTTGACTTGAGTTGACTTGAACAATTTTTTTATCATTTAAGAAGAACGATAATGAATTGTTCAACTTGAACGATATTTTTTTATCATTCAAGAAGAATGATGACGAATCGTTCAACTTGAACGAGTTTTTTATCGTTCAAGAAGAATGATGATGAATCGTTTAACTTAAATAATTTTTTTTATTGTTCAAAAAAAATGATGATGAATCGTTCGACTTGAATGATTTTTTTTATCATTCAAGAAGAACGATGACGAATCATTCGACTTGAATGATATTTTTTTATCGTTCAAAAAGAACGATGATGAATTGTTTGACTTGAACAATATTTTTTTATCATTTAAAAAGAACGATGATGAATCGTTTGACTTAAACGATATTTTTTTATCGTTCAAAAAGAACGATGATGAATCATTCGACTTGAATAATTTTTTTTATCATTCAAGAAGAACAATGACAAATCATTTGACTTGAACGATGACCTGAATCGTATGACTTGAACAATGACCTGAATTATTCGACTTGAATAATAATGAATTGTTCGCTCTTCTCCCCTCCCTGATCTTTTCATTTTTTTTTATTATTTTTTTTAAAATCGAATCAAGTTAAAATCGAGTCGAGTCAAATTGAGTTGAGTTTAAAATTTATATAACTTGAATCAAATCAAATTGAAAAATTTTATAAAATAAATTTGACTCAACTCAACTCAAAAAAAGAGAGTCAAATAGAGTTGATCTTTAAACTCGACTCGACTTGACTCATTTAGAACTCTAGTTTCTATTCTTATCACAAATACTTATTATTACTTTATTATTTAGGTCTTAATTGTGAGAGCAATTACTTTTCAGCTATTCATATTACTAAATAATATTACATATTGTTATGTATTTTTTGTATCTTAAGGATACAGTTTTGAAAAATATCATATCAGATAATATAATAATTCAATGTAAATTTGCATCTAAATTTAACTAGCACTATGTCATAATTCTAGCTGATCTTTTAAGTACATGATTTGAGTAATCTAACTTAGTATAATAATAGTAATCTGGTAGTTATCTTAAAATTGTATAGAGCTAGTATAGAACTGATAGAAAGCTAGTGAAATTCTATTAGTTTGCTAATTTTAGATTATTTCTATATCAGTTTGAATGCTAAAATATTACTTAAAATTAAAGATAATCTTTATAATTATTTTTAAATTTCAATTAAGTTACAACTTAATTGCACTATAAGAAAATTTAATTGCGTTATAAATTGCAACTTAATTGTACTATTTTTTAATTGTGATAATTATCTTTACTTAAAATCTTAGCTAAAATTATGGAATAGTACTGGTCAAAATTAAGCGAAAATTTTCTGCACCTTTTTTCTAAAATAGGTATTACAAGAAGATATATATAGTTATATAATAGTATTCTTAAAGAGCTCAGTGACAGATGATTCTTTATTGTATATATTGTTAGAAGAATCATCTAATAGTATTTCTAAAGGGCTTAAAATCAAGTGATTCTTTATGCATATATTATTGAGAGAATTATTTGATAGTATATTCAGAGGGCTTAGTATCAGATGACATCTAGTAAAAATATGTATAATATTAGATGATCATAATTTATTATGCTTAACTGTGCCTTCAGTTTTGAACACTTTTTCGTTACTTTCTCGTTACTTTCTCGTTATTTTTGCATTATTTTTAAGAAATATTTAAGGAATCATATCTGATCTATTTGGTAATTTTAGAATATATAATGAAAGATCAAAGCTAATGCTAATGAAAATAAAGGTTTTTTTTAATATTTTATATAAAGATTCAATCCTAAAAGACCATTATTTCAGAAATATACT